TTCAAAAGTCTTGACTCATCCCTGATTTCTTTATACACTCAAACTAATTACAGGAACACTTTTTAATCAAAGTAAAGCATTAAATAAATTCAACCCTTGGTATATTAATCTGGTCAGTTAAGTCGCAGAGGGGATTTTTAATCGGTTTCAGTTGCTTAGGTGTTAATTACATTAACTACAGGCCTACTAGAGTTCCAATAACAAGACCACTCCATCCATCCATCCTTTCATTTTCTTCCACAAATCTGTGACCGGGTCACGGGGGCAACAGCGTAAGCAGAGAAGCCCAGACCTCCTGCCTCCTCCTCTAGCCTTTCCCGTGGAACACTAAAGCGTTCGCAGACCTGTAGAGACATATAATCTCTCCAACATGTCCTGTGTCTGCCCCGAGGCCTCCACCTGGTAGGACATGCCTGGAACACCTCACCCAGGAGGCACCCAACTCCTGAACAACCTCAACCAGGAACTTGTTGCTGACCCGGCGTGGGCTCTCCGCCCTTTGCCAGCTGAGGTACATGGCCTCAGACTTGGAGGTGCTGATAAAAACCAATTCATTTACCTCTTAACAGGTTCACCCTGAGTGGATGTGGCAAATGTGAAAGTTATGGAGAAGCCATGGGGGATGTTATGCTGCCTGTAATAATGCTCAGCATGACTGGTTTGTTTTTAGGTTAGGGAATGAGCAACCTCATCCATGGAGGGATGCACATCCCTCTGCAAGCTAGGCAACGGCAGCTTGATGGCCGTTAGGTGTCAGAGTGAAATCTTTGGAGCCACTGTCAGATGATACGCTGGTGTAGCAGGTCCTGGGTTTCTTGTGTTGCACCAGAATGGTCACATGGTCTCATGTGACAAGAGTATGATGAAGGAACTGATACTATTGACCAGCCCCCACACATGCCTGACCTCAATCTAGACATTGTTTCGGTCAATCTGAGACTATGCACCTGAGACGATCCAGCTCAGTGATACCCTGGATCAGTTCTGCCTGATATTGTCAGGCTCGCACACTACTGAGTAGCAATGTTATTACAATCAACCAAAACTAAACTAAAAACAAAAACTAGATGACAAAATTTTTAAAACCAAACTAAAGTAAAAAGGGGAGTAAAAGCATACCTGAAGAGAAAAACACACAATGGAGTACATCATGGATCGGCCTCCTCGGAGCCCACATCATCTTTACAGAGAACAGCAGCAGCCAACAACCCTATTAGACCTCTGGAAAGCCCTTCAAGAAGCCCGGAAAAATCTTTGTGAAGACAGAAATGACAAGAAAGCTTATCTTATCTACAAACTCTTGTTTTTGCCTTATTTCCACTGTGGTGGACTCCACTCACACGCAGGAAGTGTGTTGCTGAGTTTTGTGGTACGATGTTTGCAGTTGTTGTTTGTTCAAGAATAACGTTAGAGTGAGAAACGCTGGCGTGTGAGAGCTCTCGTCTCGTCTGTGTTTACCTCCACATTGGTGACCCCTGACATGTTAGGAGCCGAGGATGACGACGCCCTCTGCCTCCTGCTGCAGCTGCGTC